CTTTAGATTTAACAAATCCTAAAATCATCTTGAGTTATGTTTACATAAGAAAGAATGCAGAAGTGATAATGTAGCCAGACTGCCAGATAATTCGAGCAGGTGTAATTCAGGTTAACAATTTAATTGAGGTTACATTCAGAAAACGTGTATCAAAAACATGAAATTTGGCAGATAACATTAACATTACGTCTGTTGTGTTAAAGATAACTCAGTCAGACATCTTTTCTTAGTCGGATTATTTGTTAAAAATGTATTGATGTTTTTATTCTTTTGGTTTTTTAGAAAAAAATTTTGGGGATGCGAGAATATACTGAGGTCTCATTTGCTACAGACTGTGCACATTTTAGATCCCTTGACAGTTTAAAGTCTTCAAACAGTAGGTTAATGCTCCTGTCCTTGTAAAGTTTTCCTCATTTCATACTACAAGGTATTGCCCAATCAGAATCAGAAGTTAAATCTAACATTTATAATGCCCCTTTACGTTAATTTTTATTTTTTTGTTAATTTTAGAATTTTTATAAAAAGAATATCAACAGAGAAGAGATGTATATCAGATATATCACCAAACTTTACGAACTTCACGTCGGAGCCAAGAATTACGTAGAGGCGGGGCTAACATTACAGTTATACGCTCAACAGATACTAGACTGGAAATATGACGTTTTCCCTGCCGATTCCAAGTATCCTAGTCAAGAAGAATGGGAACGAAAAGAAACACTGTATCTAGAAATTATCGACTGTTTTGATAAGGGACAGGTGATGTTTCTTATTCTTTCCAAAAGACTCAGAGTTTTCAGGAGTATTTGTCTAATCAATACCTCAACACATCCTCGTGAAACAACAATTTATGTAACGTTTCAACAAGTTTCTCTCGTCCTCTTCTTGTAGATAAATTCTATATAATTTCTAAAGAATATATTAATTTGTTTGTAAGGAAGTATTTATGTATTTATTGTAGGCATGGGAATATGGAATACCGTTATGTAAAGAATTAGCTGTTTTATATGAAACAAGACTATTTAACTATAAAAAACTCAGTGATATCTTGGTAATTATTTTACTTTTGTTTTATCTTGGAATGATTAATTTAGATTGTGTTGACGTTGTCTATAATACATTATATATTATATAGCCTTTCATTTTATCAGGTTTTGATTTTCTGTCTCTTATGAATTGGATTTATCATCTCTCAATTAATGATCTATTTTTGACACTACTATAATTCTCTCTGATGTTTACCCCATTTTTTTTTCAGCAAAAACAAGCCCAGTTCTTTACGAATATTCTAGAAGGTATAGCTAAGATACGCGATCCAAGTTATTACAGAGTGGCTTATTATGGCAAGAGTTTTCCCCCTTTTGTTAGGGTGAGTATGAATGTTAATTTGTGTGGATTTTTTATTTATACATGTATACAATAATTGTCCGTCTCAAACTAACCTTCCTGATGGGGATTGTGTATCTGAAACATGTAATTGTCAGACTCTAATTTCCAAGCTGACCCTCCTGATGAGGATTGAATATCTGAAACATGTTTCATAAGCATGAGATGAGCTCTAGTTAATGGAAAATCTGTCTGAATATCTCAAAACCAATCTTCCTGATGAGAATTGTATATCCAAAACATATGTCAGTAATATGAAAATATATACCGGTAGAGTTTTTTGAAAATCAGTCATAGTTTATTTTAATATTTCAGAACAAGGCTTTTGTATATCGAGGTGACGAATGTTTGAAATTAGCTACCATCATGCAACAGTTAATGACTGAATTCCCCAACGCCACGATATTAAGTTCTAACAGTCCACCCGAAGATAGTATTAAAGAGGGAGATGCTCAATGTATCCTTTTTATACGTCCACATCTCTCTATGTGGATGTATATTGTTGGCAACCCTGTCCGTCCGTCAACATTTGCTTGTAAACGCTCTAAAAACTAGATTTTTTGATGGAATCAAATGAAATTTAGTATGTGTATACATATTCATAAAA